GCCCAGGACACGTTTGACYTTCCAGGCTGTGAGTGCTCATGGCTGGCTCATGTCCAGCCTCTCACCCASMASCACCCCTGAGTCCTTCTGGGCAGGGCTGCTCTCAGTCCRTTCACTGCCCAGCCTGTGTTTGTACTTGGGATTGTCCTGATGCACGTGTAGCACCTTCACTTGGCCCTGTTGAACTTCCTGAGGTCCRTGTGTGTCCACCTCTSCAGCCTGTCCAGGTCYCTCTGGATGCCATCCCTTCTCTCCAGCGTGTCCACCACACCASACAGCTTGGTGACAYCAGTAAATTTGCAGAGGGTGTTCCCCATCCCACTGTCCATGTCCCTGACAGAGATGTTGAACAGGGCTGGTCCCCACACTGACCCCTGAGGACACCACTTGTCACTGAGCTCCACCTGGACACTGAGCCATTGACCACAACTCTTTCAGTGCAGCCAYACAGGCGATTCCTTATCCACCAAGTGGCTCATCTGTCAAATCCATGTCTCTCCAGTTAGAAACGTATTTTGTTTGAAAACATCTGCTATCATTACTAACACCTTTTTGCATCCTCCAAAACCATCTGAGTTTTTTGAAGCCTGCAGAGCATTTCAGTTTAGAGTAGGAGAATGCCTRCTTTATGATGGATTGCCAAAGTTGCACAGCTGGCTGATGTGTTTAGACCCCATTACTTCTTTTTGAACTTAAGGTATTGTGTTCAGTTTATTGCAAGGARCAGGTTGCTCAGAGGAGTTATGGATGCTTTCCTGGAAGTWGTCAAGGTCAGGTTGGATGGGGCTTTGAGCACTCTGGTGTAGTGGAGGGTGTACCTGCCCACAGCATCAGACTTGGAACTAGATGGTCTTTAAGATTCCTTCAAGGTCCCTTCCAACCCAAACCATCCTATGACTCTGTGACAGTGAACTGCTTCAGTCAGTCTTTTTCCTATCAGCATCAGATTTTTTAAGACTGGTAAGAAAAAGGCTGGAGTCCACAACGGGATTGCAAACATTTTCTTAATAAGTATCTTGTTTTATTTTTTCCCTACTTTCTAATTCGTATTTCTAGGCATATCAACAGGAGAAGTTTTTATGGACTTGCTGGGAAGACATTTCATACACTTGGGAGCCAACCAGTCAGAAAAACAAGTAATGCTGGATCCCTTGTGATGAATCAAGAATGCAATTTTTAAATTGAAAAAAACCCTACACTACACCAATAATTCAGTTGGTAGAAATATGTTGGCAGACCAATTTTGCTTAAACAATGAATAATGTTAGGATTATTGTTTCTGGATACTTTCCAAATCTTCTAATTATTCACATTATGCCTTGAAAGTAATTTATCCGAGTACAGATAAATGGGCCAGTCTGTTCAGGCCAAAGGGTTAAGGGTTTGAGCAGGGGATCATTTGTCATTTTGTATTGGAACTACTGAACCAAATTAAATCTAAGTTATTTTCCAAACCTTTTTAGAAAGAGGCATCAAAAAATCAGGATCTAAATAGCTCAAATCAGGCTCAAGCCAGTAATGTACCACTAGCAAAATGAGATGCTTTTTTGCCCAGAGAATTTCTGACATTGCACCTTAACATCTCAACAAAACAAACAAGCCTTTTTGTGGGGTTTCCTTACCTTAAAGAACAGAGGAAAAAAGTACCTTATAGTGAATGTAACTGAAAATGTAATGGTGAGCTTTGTGCCAGCACTTGGCTTCTGAGAACTGGTCTGAGAATTTGGTTTYTTCCTCCTCATCCACCCATCCTCCTGCCCACCCATTTCCCATCAGTATAAAGGAGAAAAACACCTCTCCCTAGCAGGTCTCACCAAAAGTAACAAATGTAAGTGAGGAAGGCTGTTTTGTGGAAGAAAGCTTTCACATCTTTAACAACTCATATGTTGTCTCTGTTCCACAATAACTCTAACACATTGCTGTGTTAGAGTTATTGCAGAAATTCCCTTAGATTTTGGAAGTTTTAGGTTTTGTAATCATTCTTTCGTAGCAGACAGGGAAATTTTGCATCTCCATGTTTCCAACTGGCTCMCAAGCAAAGCACAGTTATACAAAATTTATTGATTCAAAACTGCTGCATCATAAATAATGAATAATCATAAATAACTTTGAATTTCAGCATTTTARCAAAAAAGTTGCTTGCAATTACTATATATTTTACTTTAGGTGACTCTGTTATTTCAGATTATAGAAACATCGGTAAATAAGTACCTCAGTTTATGCCTATTTTGTATTTCACACATAAAATATTAACACTCCCTTCAAAATCTGTACTTTCATCCCAACCAGAAAAATGTCCCTTAACAGTCCTCCCAAATATTAGTCAAATAGAAACTCTGGTCCCTTGAGACATTYAGAAATGTTCATATGTTTTCCTGGAAAATTCACCATCAGACATTTATTTCCTGAATCTCCAGCATTAGGAGACCTCTGCCCCCAGTCCCACTTAATAAATGGGATGGTGTGTTTTACACTCACTTGAAGTTGTCAGAGGGAAGTAGTTCAGCTTTTCAGCTGGGGAAAAAAGCTGGCAGCTGCTTTTCAGCACCAGACTGAGGTCTTCAACCAGAAAGGAAATTCATGGGGGCTTGACATTTTCTCGTGTCCTGTAAACCATTTCTCAGGACTTTTTCTTTTGTGCACAACATTAATATGTTTTTTTTTAATCCAGCACCATGTGAGAAGCTTTCTGCCCCAAGCAGCTCAGTGGACTCTGCCAGGTCACCAACTGGCTTCTTGGCAGGATCAGGAGTTATGGTGAAGGCAGCTTTTTTCAGTCCTTGTCTTCTCAGAGTAGACACAGAGCTGCTGTTCCCTTGCATTTGAAATTAGAGAGGAAATAGATGCAGAAATATTCTGAGAGTGATGATGATGCTGAATATCAAGGTTTGGTGGTGGTGTGTTTCTTTTTTTTTTTTATTACAAGCTAGTGATCTCATTTGATGATACCAGAATCATGTCTCCGAAATTTTAACTTGTGTGATCTTTTGTGAGAATAGAAATGATGATTTTAAATGTATTGGTTATTCACCACACTTGGTAACAACAGAAGCAGAAGATTTTACAATATCCATCTGCTTGACTTCCATCTCAGTGTAAAATCTACGTACTGACATCTTCCACAGCTCCCGAGTCCCCTGCATCAGTTCCTGCCACATGCCTTGTTGCTGCCTCACTTCTTGACTTGTTCATTTAGTTTTGTGCCACTATTGGCTTTATCTGTTGGGCTGAAAGAATGGATTGGGAAGCGCTGGGGAGGTGTTACACCAAATGAAGCATAGCTAGCTTCATTCTGMCTAGCACTGCCCTGCGAGGAGCAAGGCCAGCTGGCAGTGCACAGGGGACCCTCTTGGACACTTCTGTGCCATGCAGGGCCAGGGGTCAGGAGAAATAGACTCACACAACCATGACTGAGGTTGTTATTTAATGAATAATGCAGATTTGGGGTCTAGACCATCCTTCTCATCTATGCTTGTACAGTGTTTATTTTCAACGGGCATTTACAGTAGCTACTATGATACAAACAAGTAACAACGCCTGATTCTTCTGACCATCTTTCTTTTCTTTTTTTTTCCCACTCCTTCTGTGCCTTTGCACAGTGAAGACCTTTGTACCAACTAGCCTGAATATTTTCTGAGTTAATATTTTGAATAAGTCATAAGCAATCATGCTCTTCGAGATATTCTCAATTCTCACCACTTACCCATGCASCTCCTCTGTATGTGTTTTGACACAGCTGTTGTTTTCTTTTCAGCCTGTTGACTAGTTTGCACCAGCTATATCATGCTGTTTGCATGTAATCTTTAAGACCCCCTTAGTCAAAACAGAAGCTGTGTTGAGGTGATGGAAAGAGACAGCATTTTCACCACAAGAATTTCAAAGCCCTGTTGTCAGTGTGACAGGTTTGGCTTGTTTTTCTTCTCATGTTTTCCTCCAGAAAAACCATCCACAAAGCTGTTCCCTGCTTGAGGTTCCTGATACGAATATCRAAGAATGACCTGCTGAGGGGATCCATAAACGAGTCATCATTCAGGACCTCTCTCTCCAGCCACCACTCCCTTGCTGGCAGGACCAAGAGCACTTGTGTTTCYTCTGTTTCTACTGGAGAAGCTGTAAGTCTTTTTCTTGTTTCCATGGAGGAAAGTCAGTGTAACATTCCTCAGACTCCCAAAATAAGCAACTATATAAATACATTATTCAAAATTAGAGAATAAGAAAGGGAAGGAGGAGAGTATAGCTAAATCTTTTGRGTCATGTGACATCATTTCTGCAAAGCTGGGAAATCATGCATGATGCTTTATGATCAGAGAAATAATTCAGGCCAGCATATTTGTGTGATTCTGATGCCTACTGGGACCAAGGATGTTCAGGTTAAGTTTTTAATGTGAATTAAAAAGAGCCATTGTCAGACACTCCCCGTGTCACCAACTACTTGCTATAATTAGGTATCTGACTGGGCTGAAGAACAAGAAAACAATCTTTTATCTGAAGTTTTGTAGCCTGTTCAGAAGCTGTCTTATTTTAAAAGAAGTCCATTTTCTATTGGATGGGAAATTTTTTATTTCTTTACCGGGATTTTAACCATGAGGAGTGAGGGGCTCCTGCCCCTAGAGCATGGTGGGGTGTTTTCTAAGAACATACCCCAAGCATCAGTAAGGCTGGTGACTGAGTGTGATAGAAACAAAAGAATCCCTTGTGACTCTCTCTCTCAAGGGAGGCTGGCCTTGCCTGCAGAGGTGCTGGGAAGGTGGCTCTGGGGGGTGGCAGCCACAGCAGAGTCTGKGCTGGGGCTGGCTCTCCCAGGGGCTTGTGCTGCTCCCCCTCAGCTCAGGCATCAGAAACCTCCCAGAGCTACAGCTGCTGCCAGTCACCTCTCACAAAAGTATAAATCCCAGGTATACCTTTTATACCTTTAAGTATAAAAGCCTAAATGTTTTCCCCATTATTCCTTTGTTTGATGTTGAATCAAGTAATTTCAGCTGCATCATCCATTCTGATCCAAGGCGCCTTCTGTTCTTCACTGCTGGTCACTACTTGGTTTTGGTTTGTTCATTCAGCATGTTTTTGAGTGTGCTTGGTTGTGGGTGCTGGTTAAATAGACAGGATTACAAGGGTAAGAGGCTTCAGCTTTTGGCACAACTTAGGAGTCTCAGTTGAAACCCCTTCTGTTAGCAGCGCGCAGCACTGTGTTGTGCTGAGCCAAAGGCAATTGTCCTTGGGGCAACTGACAGCTCAGTGCAGCTCTACAKKTTTTAGCTGAAACAGCAGCTGCTGWAATAAAAGCTAAGCTCAATGACTTTGGCRTGACAGCAGGACAGTGAAATTTTGGAATGCTCCAATATAACACTGATAGGCAAGAAATAACACCGGGAGCACCGTAAAGATGCAGCTGTTGCCACCAACACTTTCCTCTGTGTGTTGTATACATGTTAGTGTAGGAAACAAACAAATTTGTGAGTCAGATCAAGGAGCATTTCTAGTTTTATTCAACAAGTGAGGAGAAATAAACAGGCGGCCACACATAGATGTATAAGCAAGGTGATGCAAAGGAATTATGCACTATCTTCCCACTAGTGTGGAGCCCTGCCTGCCTGCCYGACTCTCCTCTATCCATGTCTAAAAGCTCCTGTTGGAGTGGAATAGTTCCCAACACTTTTTTCCAATCAAAAAGTCCTCACAAAGTAAGGGATGACAGATGCCCCCTGCCCAAATCTGTAAATGGTGCAGCACTTTTGTAGTATCCCGTTTGTGCTTCAGTACTGACACGCTCTTAGACAATTAGAGCAGAGCCCACCCCTTGTCTCCCATGCGCTAATGATGTTTTGTAGAATCAGTGAGCTTTTGCAGATTGAGAAGCTCTGGGTTTTCTGGATATTCTGCTGGGATGTCTGCAAACGTGGGTTTGGATATGTCCATGGTTTCATATTAGCTTGTGGTCACACAGAATGCCACAAGACATATTAAACAGATTGATTGTACTCCTTCATCTTTAGAATTCATATTCTCTCACATAGCTCTGCAGGTATAAGCATAGCATAAGCAATGAGATAAAAAAGGGGGAAAAACATCGTGGTGAAACGAGATTCAATATTTTTTTATTATTTCCAAGTTGTTTGTTTTTTGGTCAGCAAAATAGTCCAGGATAAGTGGTAAGRCTGAAAATAAAGCCTCTCCTCGAGGGAATTTTGACTGTGAGTCCATTGTTAGAAGAGCTTTAGTTTTCTGTGAATGTGCATGGGTTTTGCTAGAGTTTTAGAATTTCCAAGAATTTGAGAAAGGATGTAACTGTCTGAAATCCTTCATCAATTTGTGATTAGAACTGGAGCAATGTAGAGCTGGACCCTGTGGAGCCAGCTCATGAGAAGCTGAAGCCTYGCCGAAGTCACTCTTTCTCCACAAGTGTGAGACAGGAGAAGAGAGACCTGCTCCCAAAGACCTGCAGCTATGATGCAGCCACTACTGAAAAGGTATGGRAAAAACTCTCAGCTGAGGACTCTCCATTTTAGTGCCAATCTTGCTGCAGTACATCATCTCTGGAATGATAATTCAGCCTGTATGCCCATCTGTTTAATCTGTAGGCTTTATTTGTACTGATTCTAACATCCTCCTTGCTGTTATTTATTTTTTTTTCTTTTTATTTTCTTTTTTTCTTTTTTTTTTTTTTTTTTTTTTTTTTTTTTTTTTTTTTTTTTTTTTTTTTTTTTTTTTTTTTTGCTTGTGTGTGACAAATGAAAATGCCGGTAATGCCTTATTAACATTTTTCACTGATATTTGCCTGTTTTTGGAAACCAGATCAGCTCATAGCTCTGAAGCTGCATTAAAGCATAACCAATAACATCAAATGGAAGAAGATGAGTTATTTGCCTYTTTGCCTGTTTATCTACCCCAGCTTTGGTTCCTTTCATCATGGCCCTTGTGTCCATACTGTGGCAGTCTCCTTTTGTAGTAAARTCAAGTCTGCAAAAATCAGAGATTGACATGATAGAAGCCACCCTTTTCCTTGTTTTCAGTGTACATTAAAATGTTTCATTTTTGTTGAGGGGGAAGACGAGAAAGAAACTCCCATTTCTCCCTAAGGGTGGGAGAGTCTGGCAGCTGCCACCCTTCCCTCACTGAAAGAGGAGACGGTGAGTACTCAGMGCATCTTTTGTGGATGCATCGCCCTGGTTGCCCAGAGCACTGAGGTGTGGCCTGCTGCTGTTGAGGAGCACCCTGATGGGAGCAGTAGCTCACCCACCAGTCAAGCTTCTGCCAGGTTGTAACACTGGTGTGAGTGGCACAGTGTCAGGCACATGCCACTGCTGCATTTCCAGGGAGAGACCGACAAGGCTTACAATCTCTGTCTGTGGCTGGACTGAGCAGCACCCACYTTTTTAATGGAGGCACCCTTTCATGGGATTATTCTAGTGCATGTAGACAATCACCCACACCTTGGGCAGCATCTGCTTCTGTCCCCTGTGCTCCCTTCCAGCTCTGATGGTAATTGTCTAGAAACATAACAGTTTAAAGCAGGAACTGCTCTGAAAATTTCCAGCCACCCAATGACCCAGTTCCTGCATGCCTCTGTCCCACCTTCTTTCACACGTGACAGAAACCTTTGTTCCTCTCCTGTAACKGTTGTGAACAGTATTGATGGAAAAACAACAGCTTCAAGTGTGATGTCAGGCAATATGGGCTCAAATCTACTACTCAGTTCTGCTGCCTGCTGTCAGCAGCCAAGTGTATCCAAGGTTGTAGGCAAGTGGCAAAGGCAGAATATTGTCTACAGGTTCTGGAGAACCAATGTCAGTCTCTCAAGGAAGGACAAGGGAAGTAAATCTCAGGTGGTCTCCATAAAGTGTTCAGTAATAAAATAAATATATCTGTATCTGGAACTTAGCAGCTGTGTAGCCCACAAGAAGGCTCAAGTGCTATACTTTGCCTTTGAAAGATGCATCTTGAATTACTTTGATAAATAACCCTTGAGACTTCAGTGGCATTCACTGAGGTAATAGGAGTTTGTTTACATTGAATGTTCAAAGCCTCATTTGTTTTTCTTAATATTTTCAGCAGAGATTCCTCTATGGTGTGAAGGTCCTTYGTGTATCCATTTCTAAATGTAGTGTATCATTATTCATATTTTCAGAATAAATATTAATTTTTCAATTTTAGAATGTTACACAATAAGACCACCCATTTATCCTCAAAAAAAAMCCCAACTAACCCTAAAGAAGCCCAATAATTTTTTTCATATTTATTTTAAGGTTTTAACAGCCTTACTGGGTTGYGTGTGACAGAATTCCAATTAGAGCACTTCCAAAGACCGTCAGTTATGGAAAAGCCAGTCAGTGTCCCTGGCTTGGTGCTTTCCAGAGCATAAAAATGCATGGGAACTGATTTCTRTGCTGCCACAAAGATATGATCCAGCCCATGATTTACTTCAGTTATTTAGGATAGTAACAAACTTGATGTAGACTGACACTTGGAAACTTGACATGGCAGTGAAGAGGCCTTTCTAGAAGTATTAAAATYGAGGTTTGGATGCTTGATTTCAAAGGAGAGTGGTCACATATCCTCTCTGCATCCAGGTTTTGTTTCAAGGGATGAAAATTATTAAAAAAAAATTAAGTGGGTGTTCTGCCCACTAAGAAACATCCAAAAGGAACTTATCCTTCTGCAGTGAAAACAGCACTTGAAACAGGGAGGAGTGGTTTTGGAGTTGGGTTTTTTCATTCTATTATTATCTTTGGTAGGAAAGAATGGWCTTTTCTTCTCTGTCACATTGATTTAAACCACTTTCTTCAGCACATTGTGCTTCCCTCCACTTGGTAGGTAGAGCAGCTGGAGAAATCATTATTGATTGGGATTTGTGAATGATTCCTGCTTGTGGAGTAGAATTACACAAAACTATGGGCATTCATATAGTAATGAAGTAAAAACTGCATTTTACTTTAAATGTTTTTCTTCCCCAGAAAGGAGTGACTTCCAGCTTATCTCTATATCTGACATAGTGATTTTATTGCCTTAATGATAATTTTCTAAAGGGGGCCAAAACTGATCACTTATGCCTTCCCTTGCCAGTGTATTTAAATATTAACTGATGCTTTCAAAGCTTACTTAATTTACTCTGAATCTGCATAGTGTGCACAAGACTTATGGAAAGAACACAGGCGACTTGTCACCAGAGCCAAGTTAGAAATCAGAATTCTCTCAAAATAGCCAGATAAGAAATTGTTAACAAAGTGGATGCTTAATGGTTTCTTTCTTGGAGGAAACACTTTCCAATGTGTGAATCCAAGGCTGATGACTTATCAGAAMCATGTAGGGAGAGAGAGATTGTCACAAGGTTGAAAATACTTTAAGAAATTGAAGGATGAAGTGTACTTGACTCTTATCTGAGATCTCTTCCATGAGGAGAGAGAGAAGTGCAGTTATCTAGTACCCTGATACTCTGAAATGTGTTAAAAATGGAGTAATACCTTTATTTAATGATTAAAAAGTCAGATATAGGAATGAGCTTTTGTTTTTTTCTGGGTTTTTTTTTTCCTTTCTTTTTGGTCTCAGCTGATATTTGAGTATGTTTTCTTTTGCTTCATTTAACAATCTGCTTTCCGAGCAGTACACATTAGCACGTGGTGCTTTTCCCTCGAGTTAATGCTTGAAGCRTTTAGAAAATTGGCCTGGTGGCTCAAATATCAACCAGTGGCAATGAATATTTCAAACACAAGTTTCCACAGCCATATGGTGTCCGACAATGCTAAAGCTCATGTCTCCACTGCAGGTTTCKCTCTCCTCCAGCTGTTTGGAGGAGGTGCTTGGGCAGCCAGTCCTACGCAGTCCCTCGGCAGCACTTGTGAGCAGCTCCCTGAGAGCCACTTCCTTGCCTGTWGGATTGAACAGCAGCAGTGTCAGCACACGAGGCTCAAGTACTTCCCATGTGGCAGCTCAAGGAAGTCAAGCAAATGGAGTTCTGGAATCCGTCATTAGCAGTGCAGTCCCTCGCATCATCATCATTCCTACCTCAGAGACCAATCTCTTTCGGGAGGAACTGGAAGAGGAGGAGACTGAATTGTCCCACTTTCATGACATAAAGGGCAACCTGCTGGACTTGGAAGGGCTTAGCTCATCCATGGAGTTTCTTGAAGCTGTTGAGAAATTTCTATCATAAGTTTGTCAAAAGAAAACATTCCAGTAATTATTTTCTTGGCAWCTTCTCCACTTAATTATACCAAATAACTGAAGCCTTGTCAGTTAGATCATCAGATTTTTTTGGTATGTTTATATGGTAGTCACTAGGCAGCCTTCAGATTTATCTTTGTCCAAAGCAGCTCAGGCATGGAAACAGGCTTTCTTTCAGATTGTGCTGCAGGAAATGTGCAGTGGAAGATCTGGCAGCACGATGGTCAAGCAGGGTGCCTGCTTTGTGAGGCCCTGATTTGTTGCCACTGACAGGAGTGCCAGCAGGAGGGAAAATGACTGAGAGCAGGGTCAGCTGCTGAATGTTTGCTATCTGCACATGAAACAGCATTCCTATTTTGGCAGCTCTRTTGATGGCTGCATGACCTCAACTATAGTTTAATCAAATGATTTGCAGCATTGTTTTTGCTGTGCTTTATTTTTTGAATAGGCAGCTAGCTAAACGTAAAGAAGGCAACTGGTGGCTTTTCACTGGGAAGTGACTACTTCCCAGCTTGTGATCCTTGGAGGTTTAATGATAGAAATCTGGATTTTACCTCAGCATTAGCATGGTCACCTAATGTCAATGTAAGGTGCTATATGCTAAAACATACACTGCTGTTGAAGCATTCAGAGTACCTTCMGAGTTACAGTCCTGATTAAATGTGTATGGACCTTAATGAGTTTGTGATTGAGAGGGTGAATGTTCACAGCTGGCTCGACRAGTCATTGACAAAAATAAAGCCTTGGCTGCTGTATATCACTTGTCTGTTCAGGGAACCAGCAGATGTCATTTACAGGTCACTTACCAAGGTCTTCGGAGTGGGTAAAACATCAGCTTGAGGAGAAAACTGCACGGTGCTGTGGTGTTTGCTACAGGATCTGCATTCATGTTATTATCTGTGGTTACTAACTGTGCTTGTTTTATCTGTGCTCACATTATGATTCAGGCTCACAAGACCCTCCTAGCACTACACTTGTAGCTTCATCTTCCTTTTGTTACTCATTTTGCCATTTCTTTGTGTCTTCCCTTTCAGTCTCTGATTTTCAAATGTAGACAGCAAATTGAGCTACATTTTTCTTCACCTTATATCAATATATATTAGTAGAAAGCAGGTGCTCCTCTGGATATAATAGTGCAAATATTTGGTCCAGTGAGACTAATAGCATTCAGACAGTCAACAAGACAGTGAGAGTTCATAGTCTCAGTTTATTTCCTTGGCTGTGTCCTAGATTATGCAGGGACCACTGAGAGAATTTCCAGGTTTTGTGTATTCACTGGCTGAACTCGGGAAGTAATTTCTCTTTGCCTGTTTTCCTGATGCAAAAAACAGATGGAAAGCATAGAAGTGTTTTTAATTACTTTCTTCATTGCAAAAGAAGATAACACAAATATTGTTTGCAACAAGCTGGACAGGAACATCACTAAAGAGCAAATTAAAACCCAAAGCAGTGGGGGAAAGAGAAGAATGCCTCCAAACTTGCAGACCGAAGGCTCTGCAAGGTGCCAGCACAGCAGATCTTTGAGAGGACTGAGGCACTTCCTTTCAATATAGACTGTTCAATTTTTAGGAAGAGAAAAAAAAATAAAAGCTGGTGGGTTACAGAGGCGATTGCTGAGACAGGCTGCCTGATGCAATGCTAACTCCCTTAATGCTGCTGTTATTTGAGGTGCTCTGCTGCCTACAGATCCTCAGACTTCCCAACCATGGAAAGCAGGGAGGAAATCGGTGGTGGAGCTACATCATGCTTGTGGTGCTGGGGGAGCAAGGCTCAGCTGGGGCAGCACCAGGCTGTGGTTCCTGCAGCCAAAGCCTGTGCCCACTACGTGTGGAGTTTTCTGACGGGGCCAGGAATCATGCCAAGGTCATCTGCAATCAGCTCAGCAATTCCAAGGGCAATTCCTCCATTTGAGGACTGGCACAGTGAGCAGGGAGRGCTGCTGGGGACAGGGACATGCCCTCATTTGCAGTTCCACAGTGCCAGGTTTTTTAATCCACTGCATAGTTTTGGCCACAATTAGTAATTAAATGTTAATTATCTATTATATTCATGAAAAAGAGGGCAGGCTTAGTGCTAGGCTAAACATACTGTCCTGCCATCTTGGATTCCTGTYCTTTTTTGGCTGAACCTGCCCTCTCTGATTTTTTTTTTTCAACACTAACTGTGCAGTCAGTGGCCTTGCTTCTTCTTGCATTTAATATCCTCAGCTGCTGTATCTCCTCTTTTCTTGAGCCAGAAAGGAAGCAAGTGTTCTTTCAAGGCTTCCAAGTCTTAGACCTGACTTTTACTTCTGTAATTACTCCAAATAACAATAGAAAATGCATTTGGTGTTCCATGTTATAAAAAGGTGCCCTGGAGTAGATTTTGCACTCAGATTATGACAGACTTTTACTGGTAAGTCTGTAGGCAGGGTATTGCCATAGATTTTGGCAGGATGAAAAAAGGAAGTCCTGAAGTCATACTCAACAAATTTCTCTGTCTCTGAAGTTTTGAATTCTACTTGTTAGCCTCCCAGTGATCTCTTGCATGTGTTTGATACTCTTACTGTGCTGGTACTGTGAGCGTGTCTCAGAAAATCAGCAGGCTTGAGTTCTGTGCAAACATSGTTTCACTTTTACACTGTTAATGTCATGCACTGTTAGTACCGTTGCTTCTGAAGCTACTGGCAAGATTACTGCTTGTTTAAACTGATGCAGGCTGAAATACCAAGTGGCATARTGGTAGAGAGATAAAACATGAAGTTGTATGAAATGTCAGGTAATCTTACTGCAGTCACTGKGAGACTTTGGCAGAAACCTCAGTCACAGAGTAAATGAGTCTCCAATTGACCACCACAATGCAGGRAAATTTTGCAAGCTTCTCTGTTGCCACATTAGAATAGATGGCACATAAAAATGTACACTAATAACTGTTGCTTCCTGTTTCACAAAGGAATGTATTGGTTCACTGAAATGGAATAAAAAATTCCTAGGAGTTAAACTAAATTATCCATTGTTTGTTTTTCTTATTTAATCATTCTTTTTGGAGCCAGGAGGAGGAATAAAAAAGTTGAGTCAAGGCTTTTGAGACCTGTGCTCTGATCCAGTTAATAGAAATGTACATATATATGTGTATATATATGTGTGTGTGTGTGTATATATATATATATATATATGTATGTATAAATATATATGACTTTTTTAAAAGTCATTTAGACTGCTCACTTGCAACCAAAGCACTCACCTACCTGAGCCCAGAACATCCAAATTTAGAGTTCACTGGCTTGGTAAAAGCTGAAGTTGCTCAACTACTTTTGAAATACAATTACTCCAGCTGGGATGTCAGGTATCAGGTGAACACAACTGAAGAAAAAATAGCCAGAGTCGATACATAAAAAATCTGACAGCAGACTTTGATCTTTGTCCTAAATCTGAATGAAAGTTAGTGAGTAATTGTTTGTTTCTGCTAAATCTCTATATAGCATAATTATAGGATGAGTTTCAGTTTTCGTGAGTAACAGAAAATCCAGAACACAAATGTAAACATTTTCTTTTATCATAGACAATAGTATTTTTTAATAGTTATATCAATGGTTCGATAAAGTTTTCAAGTAAGAAAATTTACTTATGTGAGTCTTAATGAATCTTGCAGCTTTGGGCTGGTATGAAACATGACCTAATACCTCTTTGAGAAAGCTCATTCAGTTCCCAGACATCCATCCCTCATTTCAGGAGACACACCAGAACAAGAAACCCCTTCCACCCCATTGTCTGAAAAAAGTTTATATTGTGATGTGCACAAATTGGGAAAAGAGTGGGAGGCAAATACCCTTTTAAAAAATTTCCTTACTTTCCCCTCAGCCCTTT